CCCTGTCCCGACCGCTGGCGTGGCCCGCTGCAGCCCTCCCGGGTCGAGCGGCTCCGCCGGGCTCGCAGGCGGCCTCCGCAGCAGCCCAAGCCCATGAGGGCCGCGCGCCCCGCCGCCGGCGCTGACGAGACGGAGCTCCCGGCGCGCGCGGAGGAGCGGCGGATCAATGCGGTTCCAGAATCGATTCCAGCGGTGAGCGCGCGCGCGGAGAGCCGGTCCCCAGGGCGCCTCTGCGTGCGTGCGTCCCGCTGCTCCCCGGGCCGTCCCGTGGGTCTGTACCCCAGCCGGGACCGGCTGCAGGGGATCCCCGCCCGCTGCCCCGGACGGTCGCCTTCCTCTCTGGAGCGCGCCCTGGACCCGGGTGGCCGCTCGCGACCTGCGTGCGAGCCCGGACTCCTAACCTGCAGGTCTTGCTTGGCTTACCCCCGCTGACCCGGTCCCCCGTCTCCGAACCGGATCTGGGAGGGCCTCGTGCTAGATCTGAAGACCCGAGCCCCACTTTATCGCCTCCCCAGGGTCCTGGGACCTAAGCCCCGGCGTCCATCCCTTTACCCCAGGATTGGAGGGGACCCTTCCCCCGCCCCCCGGGGTTGCTGCTGCGCCGTGCGAGATCTGTGGAAAAGCAGGGAGCTGGATGGCCCGTATCTGTTAGGTATTTCTCCTGTGAACGACCTTAGCAACAGGGAAACTGAGGCACGCACTTCCCGACCCAGCCTTGCCTGAGATGCAGGGGCCTCGCTAGTGTCAGGCTGAGAGCCCAGGGCAGTGCTGTTTTGGGCTCTGCCAAGGAGCAAGGTAGTATTCGTGCTGGAGATACCTGCAGTTGGGGCGCCTGGGTTAGGAAACCCAGAGGAGGAGCAGAAGCAGCTCGGGCGCTACCGGAAGACAGGCAGGTCGTGGGAGAGCGGGTAGGGACCGCAGGCTGGGGGCCACCAGGGCCGCGATCCTCCCCAGGGGTCTCTGCCCTCCAGCGACAGCTGGAGGCTGCGGGCCGGGGCTCCCAGAGGAAGCTCAGCGCTGCTCTGTTCCGCCTAAGTGGGTGAAAGTTCAGCCCTCCTGTGTTAGTGGGAACTCTCCATCCCTTTGTCTGGAGCCAGGCAGACATCCCACTTCCAGGCCTAACCCACCCGCAGGCTTCCTGTGCGGTGGCGAGGAATTTGGAAGAAATTCATGAAATCTTCCGTCGAGGTTATTGTTGAGTTTTTAGACCCTGCCTTTTATTTCACAGTGCTTCGTTTTTTCTTTCATTTCCACTTTTTTTTTTTCTTGAACTGCCCACTCACCCATTATGTGTGTCCCATTCCGCCTCCAGTCCCACAGGGTAAAGGAACCAACAGAAAAAAAATGTAGGAAGAGTGCGGTGGTCGGTGCCATCAGGGCGGAATCAGCCTGCGGACTGGGATTAACTCCCAAATACCTCTCATCATTAGGGTGCTGAACGCCTGGCACTGGCCCTCAAGAAGGAAGCTCAGACCAGTGCTTTTAAGGGAAGCCAGTGGTGTTCTGGCTTTAGAACCTGAAGTCATGCGTGAGAGTGGAGGGGCTCCAAGGCAGAAGGGAACAAACATTGGGCCCTGGGCCTGGCGTGATCAGTGAGGCTTTGCGCGCGTGGTCTGTTTGATTTGGTTCTACTTGTCTGCACGCCCGTGCTCTTCCTGTTTTTAAGAGTACAGTGGCTGTCTTGGGAAAAATTACCCCTTCCCTATTTGATTAAGGGAACATTTCTCTTTTATCCCCTTGAATGCTTGTGTGATAGGAAAAAAAAGCCTGTTTCAGTTGTTTTTGCACAAACATGAAAACAGTGCTAAAAAAAAGGAAAACTTGGCCTGTTCAGCTGACTGCACTGTCTTCTTTTTGCTGGGAAGTAATGTCTCCATTCTGTACAGCACCACTGTGACGCGTTTTGGAGCTCTATTTTATCCATTAGAAAATTGAAAGCGCTGGCATTTTCTTTTGGTGTAGCACAGTGTTATTTTCTCATTGGCTATACATTACTGCACTCAGTGGATAGTTGTTGTTTTTTATTGATGACGTCTAGACCTACCCTGATTTTTCTTTGAAGATTTACATGATCCCATGTTTTCTTGTTTCTCAAATATGCATATAGGTTAAACTGGAAAGCTGTCTCTAAGCATCAATTTGAACTTGGAAAGAAAGCCTGCCAATAAAAAGTGATATGACAAGGAAGCCCCCATTTTTGTGCTTCACATGTTAAAATGTTGAAAATGCTCTTCTGAACCTTGTCAAGCTGTGTTCATCACACAGCTTTCTGGGTATTCACCATAGTTACAGGTAGGCACATGACACAGGCACTGCTGGGAGAGATGCGCTGCCTTTGGGCCCATGCGTTGTCGCCTGACATCAGGACTCCATTGAGGAGTGTTTGCAGGGAAAACATTGTATTAGGCCATACTTTGTAACTCTGCCCAAATAACAAGAACACCTTGCTGGTGTGTTCATAACTTGGTGGTTATTGTGGCTTCGGAGCAGCATCCAGAATTCTGCCATGTCTGTGGAGGAAAGCTGTACGGAAACAACCTGCTCCCCTCAGTGGAGGGAGGACTTTATGTAATCATGGCTTCTCGAGAAGCTTAAGATGGGAAAAGTTCCACTGTGACACAGCATATTTTCTTTCTTTCTTTGTCTCTTTTACAGTTGAGTCTCCCAGGACACCTAAGATGCACACACACACACACACACAGTCTCTCTTTTCATGGCATTTCTGCTTGATGACAATAACAGCTTACAGTCATTGAGAGCCTGTTAGTGCCAGGACACTGGTTGGGTACCTGTAATCCTGAAAGATACAGATTGTGTACCCACTTAGTAAAAGAGCAGATGGGTTAAAGAATAATAGTCCTCTAGTCCCGTGACCAGGAAGGGGCAACCTCAAGAGTTAGATTCATGCCTCCCTCTACCACCCTGGCTACTCCCTTGCCCTTTCTTCCTGCCCACGCTACACATCTGTGTTGAAAGGAAAGGATCCTATCTTCCTCAGCTCTAGATTTGTGACCAGTGGTTTGCTTTACATTTGAATATATGAAAAAGCATCTAGTTTAAAACATTGGGAAGTCTTCCAGAGCTGTGTGTTGTCTTCGTGTGTGTGTTCTTAGAACATTTCACTGTAGTGGTTGGCTGTGTGGGGGAATCTTCCAACGTAAGCCTTTTTCCTTTATATAATAATTAAGTCAGGGATACCCCTGTTGGTGCTGGATACTTGATGAAGCACATGTTTTGCCTTAAAGGGGCACTAACAGTAACTGCTGTTGAAGGGGGCCCTTGGAATACCTGTTGTCTTGGCCTTTGAGTTTTCTTTTCATGAAATTCAAAGTTCTCAGGTTCTAAGACTACCTGTTTCTTCTATATGCGAAATCTGCTGAATCCCAGTAAAACTAAATAGACTGTGATATCTCTGTCAAAATAGCTCAGAAGTAACTGGAATATCTTTTTATTGGGTCATTCATCAATTATTTACTAAGCTGCAGCAATAAGCTGGGCATCATGCTTGTTATTGGAAATGAAAGGGCAAGCAAAACAGCCTTCGTGGATTTCCTATTTTAGTGCGGAAAATGAAATTAAAACAAATTCTTGTTAGTTATGCGGATTCCCGTTGGATGGGGAGGGATGGAGTCATAGTAGCTCAGAGGGCCTGAGGAGTGTCTCTGAGCAGGTGGCTTTTGATCTAAGCTTAAAGGATGGAGAAGAAGAGCTGAGCATGCTGGGAAACAGAGTACCAGGCAGAGATAAACAACCCTTGCCTGGAGACAGACAAAACCTTGACTTTTAGACTGAACACAGAGGGGGTGGCGTAGCTAGAGGGCATGGGAGAGCAAGGATGAGTTGTGAGAGAGAGTCCACTAGGGGCTGGTGGGCTGGGATGGAGCACAGTGTGTCCATCAGCACTTTGGGAAGCAAGCAGCAGGTTTATAGTTGGGCTAGGGCTGTGTGCGGTGATGTGTGGGGGTTGGGTATAGTTTTTGTTTTTTGGTACTGATCATCGCTGTTGCATACTAGGCAAGTGCTCTACTGCTGAGCTGTATCACCAGCCCTTTCTTCCGTTAAATTTTGAGGTAGGATCTAGTTTGCCCAGGCTGGTCTTGGACCTACGATCTTCCTGCTTTAGCCTCTGCTTAGTGGCTTTATGGGCTCATGCTACATTGCCTGGTATGCCCTGGTGTTAATGGACTCTTGTTGCTGTATAAAGAAGAGAGCCTCTCTCTGCATGAAGCGAAGCCGCAAACCCAGCTGAAGGTTGTATTTTCACAGAACTGAGATGCTGGAGTCTTGATGAGAAGCAGAGTTATAGAGCGGTGGACCGTTTTGGAATATAGCACAGACCATATTTGCACTTGGGGAGAGAGCACCAGGGAATCAAGGAGAGTTGGGGATTTGATCTCTGCCTAGGCCTCTGAGATCTGCTGGTGGGTTGCTAAGGCGCATCCCTAACTGTTCTTTCCTGCCATAGTTAGGACATTTTCTCATGGGGAGTGGGCACATAAAGACACTGGGCAAGGGGGGCACCACAGAAAATGTTGACAGTGAGGTGATAAATGAACAAAGCCTGCTCAGCTAATAGCTTTCTTAAGTGTGATTTCAATTCCCAGGACTAAATCACCTTCCCTTAGGTTCATGACAGCAGCTGGTCACCCTGGTCAGAGCACTGGGCAGCCACCAGGGTTCTCCACCTGATGCAGAGATGACTTCTATAAAAAACACTTGAACTTTCCTCATTTGCGGGGGATGGGGTAAGTTTAGGCTCCTGTGTGGGTGTTTTATTTCCTTTTTACATCTGCTTTTCCATTTAGGTCTTAGTGATTTCTTCAGAAGGCTGTGGAGGAGGCTTGATTGTGCCCTGGCAGATCAGAGAGAAATGGAAAAATTGCATTATAATTTCCCAGCAGAACAATCATGCTGTCAGTCCCACTGAAGCCCCAGACACGAAAATGTCATAGGATTGTTGCTCTTACCTTTCCTTATGGCCCAGATCTTGCACCATCCATCTGCAGAGGCTGCTCAGAGTCCCCAGAATGGGCCATTTTTCTCAGCAACTTCTTACTTTTCTGAACCAGAATTATTTCAGGTCAGCAGACACCACGCTGCCCAAAACCTAACCCCCCAGCTTCTTTGCTTATGGGAGAAATTGCAAGTCTAGCCCTGTTGCTGCGTAATGGCCTGACTATTTTTAGATTGGGCTGCCAGAGATATAAATGGCTATTTTAGTCTGCAGCCTGGTAGTGCATAGAGAAATCCTACTCACTGCATCCTCCGTGGGGCACTTTGAGTTCAATCCAGCCACAGCCATTTGGAGACTCACCCCATCCTCTTTGCTGGCCCTGCCATGGTATGCTGCCTGTAGCTGTGTTGTTACCTCTGAAGGTGTTGATGTGTCAGATCCTTCTCTGCTTGTGATACTTACAAAGCATTCTGCCCGAGAGGATAATTATTTTTCTTTTTACTAATAAGGACCATATAGCAACACTCTTGTCCCTTAGGAAATTAGTGACATTATTTAAAAGATTATCAAGGGAGGAAAGATGATGCTTGAAATTATTTATCCCTGTATAAAAATAGCTTGCGCAAATTTGGAAGCTGCTAGCTGTACATTTCTCTAGACCATTTCAACGCATCTGTTGGATTATACCCAGTAGCTATTTTGCATACTAGTTGATCATCTAAGCCATCGGCATTACCAGAGAAATGTCTTCACTGTCCCTTAGTAAGGTGGGCCATCTGAACCATGTTATGAAGTTACCAGGCACTGCTATTTATTTTTATTTATTTGCTCAAAGGATAACAGCTCCTTCTCAGTCAGGAAGGTGGTGGTGGTTACCCTAACATTCATAAGCCTGGCACTGTTCAGAATGACTCCTTTATCCATTTCAGTCAGCTTTTGGCGACATAGCTCTGCCATTTTGTCAGCCTGGAACTGTTTTTCATCGTGTTCGTAAGTAGTGTGTGACTGACTAGTCAAGAAATCATGAGTGGTTAAAAGTACACCTCCTCTCCAAATTAGTGTGAGCAAAATGCTAATTTATCATACAAAGCCCGCTGACAGGTTGGCCCTTGGAGACCTGAGTGCTGGCAGGCCTCTTTCACCTGTTTCTGCATCTGCTTCTTTGCCCTTTTACTCAGACAGCTGCTTTTCTTCTCCTCCGGAGAACGTTCTCACTAGTCTAGAATTCCCCAGGAAACCCGATGTGGGGGTGGGTGTGAGTGTGAGTGTGGGTGTGCGTTCAGGGAGGCAGTCTCACCTGCAATAGGAGACTGTGGACGTCTCTTTCAGGCCTTGGTATTCAAGTTTCCACTCTGCTGCTGACTGTGATAAAGCTGTAGCCTAAAGGAAGGCCTGGAATATGGGAGTGAGCTTGGGGGTGTGTGGCAGCTGTTGATGGATCAGACACACTGTGCGCACCTGGGAAACTTGCAGTCACATTAGCAGGTCCTTGTCATAGGTCTGATTTTTGAAGCAAACCCATTTAATCCAGGGAGAATGAAGATGAAAATAGACCTCTTTGCTTAGGTGGCCTAGAGGCAGACAGGTGTCACTGTACCTGTCTGGTGCCCGAACAGGTAACACAATATAGGGAAACTCGTTGGACAGGCCTTTTGATCATAGGTGTAGGTTTTTAATATCTGCATATAGAAAGCTTTATGCATTCTGAGAGAGAAAATGGAAACCTTTGAGGTTCAGTGTTCCTTTTTCATTTAATGATAATAGCTGAAGATCAGAAAAATTCCTTTTATCTGTTAAACTTTAAGGGCTGGGATGTAGTTCAGTGGTGGAGTGCTGGTGGCTAGCACATGCAAGGCAGTGGGGTCAGTCTCCAGCACTGCACACACATAAAAGAAGATTTCAGATTTGGTTGTGGCATTGTTTGTTTTTCTGTCGCAGGGGTACCAGAAAAAGAACTCAGTATGGTTTATGATTGCTTTGGGGTGATGTAGGTTATCTTTTGAGTAAATGAAAAGAATACTACATCTAAGGCGGGGCATTTGTTTTGCTTTAAGAATCATTGCTGTTGACCCACTCTATACTATCCCAATGGCTTTACCTGTCTTCTGGGAGTGTGATATTTTCACCAGTGACCTCTTTATTTAAAAAAGACCAAACAGCCATTGTAGGCTTCCCCATTGTTGTCCCAGGCTTTGAGCTTTTCTCACGTGAATGCGTTTTGTTTCTGCAGTTTCATGAACCATCGGGCCCCAGCCAACGGCCGTTACAAACCGACGTGCTACGAACATGCTGCTAACTGTTACACCCATGCAGTGAGTATGAGCTTTCTGCTGCCGCTGTTCTGCCCCGAGAGATTCAGTGGGAGGAAGGGGTTATGTGCAGGGACTTGAGCGTGCTCAGTCGGACTTACCCATCCCTGTGGCCTCAGCCACCAGACCCCAGCGGGGTCTTGTCACCGGAAGCTGTGAGCATGTCGGATGCTTTGTGTTCCAACCTGTCTGCTCTGTCCTGAGCTTGCCTTCCACAGCCGACTCTTGAAAAGACTGAAAATCCCTACGAACTGGAGCTGTAAGACAATGAGAGAAATTTGTTTATGTGTCGTATTATGCTTCAAATCAAATAACCACTGTGCTTATTTGGCAAGGAGAGTTCACAGTTTGTTGAAAAAGGTGTTTTGGGTTTTTTTTTAACTAGGCGAACTTCTGAAACAGGAAGCCACATCCTCCCACCCTGACAGTAGCCGTGCTTCTCAGAACATATGTTTTTCCATGTGACTGAGTAAAACATTGGTGTGGTCTCTCAGATCTTGATTAGTTTTTCCTTATAAAAACAAAGCATGCTCATTACAAGAAATTTTAAAAATACTAGAACATATATAAGCAAACAAAATGACCCGGAAATAAACTGGTAATGCTTGAGTATATTTCTTTTTTTGTATATGTGGTATTCATGTATATATTATACATAGGGTTCCTATTAATGTCACCTAATTGGCATTTCTTATGTCATCATCAGTTCCATTTTGAAAGTTGCATTATGCGAGACTTGAAGAGATGATGGTGGTTGGGATACAGTATGAAAACAATAGACAAGACAGTTTATTCCATTAGTACCAAGTGTTTAGAAAAAGCCGGTTTGATTACTGTAGACAGTGATATTGGCATAGCATTATAGTTTGGCTATTGAGATACGCAGCTCAACTTTAGGAGGAATAATATTTGTTTAGGATAGATCTGAATAATCTCAAAATCTTCGCAAGATAAGGAACACTTTTATAAACTGAAATTCAGGAAAATCTGATTATTAATTTTTTTAGAACAGAAAATACAGTCTTATTAAACTAGATCTTAGATTTTGGGATTTCAGACATCAAAACTTGTTTGTTATTATTTCATTTAGAAGATGCCTTGGGCTGGCCAAATAGTTCAGTGGGCTCAGGGGCTGGGGGTCTGATCCCCGGGCCTACTGTGCCAGCCCTGCCCTTTGGGATGTGCTGAGACGGCAATTGAGACTAGACGTGGTAGCGCACGCCTATAATCCCAGCTCTTGGGAGGCTGAAAACAGGCGGATCACTACGAGTCTGATCTACTAGTCAGACCCTAAACACCCTGTAGACCCTTCCCTAAAATACAGAAGAAGAAGAAGAAGAGGAGGAGGGAGGGGAG